CTTACTGTTAATACTTGTTGTCCAAAGATGACTAGACTGTTTTGTTTACTGTGTTGCGTTAACTGTGTCTGGCTAACATCCATGGTTACAATATATATTTTTAAAAGTCTTTATTAAATTATTCACTATGTATCACCACTCTGTTTATTTCTTTTCTGATCTGTGTCACGACGTAGAACTGTTGAAATATGACACTATGGAATTAATGGAACTAATCGACATAGTGAAATACGCCCTCTACACTGTCTCGATTATGAACATGTATTTCAAGAAGCAATACTGTTCTCAGATATTCCGCGTCTTTTGTCTTCCTGTTAACGTCTGCCACAGGCTGAATGACGTCGTCTCAGCCGATCTGTCAGTCACATCTCAATCATCACTAACAGTTGAGGTCGTCAAGTATCGAGCACATAAAGAACTGTTATCGGCGATCACTGAACGAACAATCGAGCGACCGATAAGCACGGACGATCAGTACAGCGTCGGCGTCGTGGTCGTCACAATTCGTTACAGAGAGGTCGTCACAAACTGCCAGTTATGTATTGTACAACAGTTACGTGCGGCGACACTGGCAGTACTGACTGACCAGCCCTCCCTTGGCTGCCGCCGCTGCGCCTCCCGACCCGCGCAGCCAGTCTGGCAAGGTGCTCGACCACTCCTTCCTGTGCGCTCGGCGTTAGTACTGCTTCCAAATCTCTTTTAGGTATTATGAATGCACTATATGGAATCGATCTCTAAACTGGCGTGTTGATTTAGCCCTTAATAGCACGATAGAGGAATTAAGGAATCACGTAGAAAATTATTGGTTTGCTACCGCGTGGAGATGGTGCGGTCCGGAGGTAAAAACTGGTCGGTCTAAAAGTACCAAGAGCCCTAATTGTCGGTTATCCGGTAGTCGTAGGGCCGTCGTCGAATGTGCGTATACGCGGATGGATGTCTCAGTCTGCACACGCAAAAATCACGTGTCCGCAAAGCATATCTCTGCCGAGTGATTTTTATCTCGCCTTGAATGATCCTAACGCTCATAAATACTGACTGAGTGACGTTGATACGACGAGTGTGGAATCTACAAAGGGAAAAGTTGCACGGGTAAACTTAGAAGACAAGTTCTAGGGGCCAAAATATTTGAGTGATGATGCAGGCCATAGCATATGATCAGAAAATATATATTTTTCAGAAGGAAAGGGAGGAGAATGCACAGCTAATTTCTAACTTCTCATGGCCTTGTCCAGGGATGCTTTTAGTAGCTAGCTTGCCTTGCCCATGTCTCGTAGCGTAGGTCAGCCGAAGGGATACTCAGAGTTAGAACCTGTATTGCCACTTCTCTCAAGGAGATTGCAGATTGTGAAGGTGTATGCAGAGTGTATATGTATATATATATGTATATGCATATGTATGTATATATGTGGGCATACATATATATATAAATATAATATATATACACACATACATGTATATATATGTATATATATATGTATATATATGTATATATACACATATATGTATACACACATACATGTATATATATGTATATATATATGTATATATACACATATGTATACACACACACACACACACACATATATATATGAGAGAGAGAGAGAGAGAGAGAGAGAGAGAGAGAGAGAGAGAGAGAGAGAGAGAGAGAGAGAGAAGAAAAACGGAAGAGAAAGAGATATGTGAAAGAAAATAAACAGCAGACACGAGACTACCTGTAATATAATTAGTTGTGCAAAAGGACAACTTCAGATACGAGAGCTAAGCGACAAGATAAAATGAGAGGTACATAATAATGAACGAAAATGAACGACAAATGAAGTGGGATGTCGAAACACGTACATAAGAAAAAAAAAACAATCAAAACTGAAAAAAACAAGAAGAATGAATGCGAAATAGATGAAAAGAGACGACAAAGAGGAGCGAGAGGAAGTAGGAGTGTCTTCCAAATAAACATTCGCAAACGTGTCACTGCTGGATAAAAACAAGTGCTCTTTCTCTCTTAGGTTAGTAGACTGACCGACTGACTTTTTCTTTTTTTCTTTTTTTTTTTGTTACTCTGCAGCGGGGTTTAGGATCTATTTTAGTGCTTCTTGGGAATAGAAGTATAAACTTGACTGCTAGCCTGCGGAGAACAGCTGACCCGGAGTAAACAGCTGTTATTACCCGTCAGTGATATCGACGTGAATCCTTCAGCTGGTTTATCATTCCCGGGATTTCTGCTGACAACAGAACTTTGACGAGCAGATATGTATCATTTTCTTTCTAATTCAAGCAAAATAAATAACAATAAATTTAAAAAAAGGGTACACAAAAAACACCGAACGTAACTCTCCTTCGATATAAATCCTCCATGTAAGTAAGTAGGTACCTCCTCCTTACCTGAATCCTTACGACTCGAAGATAACCCACGACCTCTTCGACTCACCTTAATCACACGCGATCCTGGACGACCTGCGGGAAGAACAAGAAATCAGAAATAAATTTAAAAGGGTAGCATTAATTTTGCCAACCACGCAACAAAAAAATACTATACCAAATAAAGAAGTAAATCAATATAAATTCTCGGGGCAGACAATCAAACATGGCGTTGACCTCCAATACGTCGTCCGTGTTGAGTGCAATGACTTGATAAAACCTGCTTTAGGTTATCGAAGGTGGACTGGGAAGAGGAAGGTGGAAGAAGTGAAGGAGAAGTGAAGAGGAGGAAGATGTAGTGGAAAGAGGTTGAAGAGGGAGAAGAAAAGTAGGAGGAAGGTAATGGAGAAAGAGTACAGGGAGGAGGAGGAGGGAACGAAAAGGAAGAAAGGGGCGGGAGGGGGGAGAAGGAGAAGGAAAATGAAAATGAAGAAGAAAAAGGAAATGGAAAAGAGGAAGCCGAAAATGAAGAAGAAAAAGAAAAAAGAGAAAACGAAGAAATGAAGAAGAAAAAGAAAAAAAAGAAAAGACGAAGAAGAAATGAAGAAAGAAAGCAGAGGAGAAGGAAGGATAAGAAAAAAATCAAATGATCATACAGAGAGGTGGTGGAGGAGGGAAGATAAATATCTGTGATACGTGTCTCAAGGTCCGAAAATACTTCATGAGTATTCTCCATCTCTCTCATTTTCCTTCATTGTGTTTATTTATCACTCCATGCTTATTTAACTCTCTTCGCCTATCTTCTTCTCTCTGTCTCTCCCTTTTTCGTCTTTAATTCCTTGTTCCTCTCTGTTCAGCCATCTTTGCTTTAATCAGGTCATCATAGGTCAGGCAGCCACACAACACGGACGATTCGCTTTTCCTCTTCATTTCCATAATCATTATAATTTTTCTTTATATTTCTCTGTATTTTCTGTATATCTGTGTATTTGGATATCTATAGTGGGAATGACATATATGCTTTTTTTACATTTAAACATGTATAGTCACGTACGCATAGATATTTCCTATACATTATATGTCACACACACACACACACACACACACGCGCGCGCGCGCGCGCGCGCGCACTGTCTATCTATATACACACATCAAGTGTGTGCTTATCTCAAAAGTTTTCTTCGTCTTGCTGCATCAAAATAAATTTTCAATCCACTGTTTACAAATAACATCTTGCTCGCCATCGCGCTTCTCATAATTATCTAAACAAGTTTCCCACTTATGATTCCCCGCCTCCCCCCTCCCCCCTTTGCTTGCCTCCCATTCCTGGCAATGCATTAAAGTCGCCTCTCTTGCAACTTTGTGCGGATAACCTTGCCCCAATATGCAAATGCACTCGCACATACACATACCTGGCCGGTTCCACCCATTCACCTTTTTTTCCCTCTTCCTCGGTCTTTCTTCTCCCTTGCTTCCAACCTTTCCTGTCCTTCTTGGTCATCTTATCATTCGTTTTCCTCTTCGTCGTTCCCTTTATTCTTTTCTTCTCCCTTGTTTCCTTCATCTTTCTTGTCCATCCTGCTTTTCCTTCTTTTGTAATTTGCTTTTCCTCTTTCTCGTCTCCTATGGTCTTGTTCTTTTTTCTTCTCTCCATCTCTCCTTTCCTTTCTTGGTTTCTTTGTTGCTCCTCCTTCTCTGCTATTTTCCATCTGTCTTTGATAAACACGATTTATTCGAGTATTTGTTTTCTTAAGGATCTGCTTAGTTGTTAGTTTATGAGATTCCCCTCGTCTTTACTTTTTTAATGTTCTTTCAAGCTGATAACTGCGCATTATCTTAACTTGATTTTCCCCTTTTACTTATTCATTCATCATTCTTTCTCTTTTTTATTTCTACATACCAGCTTTTCTATCACTCTTATTTACGTCTCTCCCTTCTTTATCACTATCCTTGTTATCATATTTACTCCACGTTCTTTTTTTTCTTCACGTATCTCAGTTATGTCTCCTTCCCCCCCTCCCCTCCACCCCTCCGATCCTCTTAAGACATAAACAAACATTACTCACACGACAAGAGGAATCCAAGTAATTGAAGCATCACTTTTCATCACGAGAGAGAGAGAGGATTCTAGATCATCATAAGAATCTGATTCCAATTAAGATGCGAAGGAGACAGTGACCTAGACGGAGAATGCGCGCTGACAGAATATCTTAGGACTTTTTTCACTCCTCTCCTTAGTATCCTTATTCACTGTTTAAAAGGCTGTTCGTTCTTTGTCTCTCTGGTTATGTTTGTCTCTGATAGTGTCTTTGTTTGTCTGTCTGTTAGACATTCTTTCTGTTTCTGTCTCTCTCTCTCGCTCTCTTTCTCCCTCCACCCATCCATCCCCCACTCCCTCTACCCCCCTCTCTCTCTCTCTAACAACTCCCTTCACCGCCCCAGTTCACCTTAATTCTCGACGTGGACACTAGTTTTATAGAGTGACTTGCATTCACAATCCCCATCCTAAGTGCACACTAACTCGCCGTTTGATTCGTCCACGCGGTCATAAAGTCGTCGATAGAATACTCACTTTATGCCTTTTATTCACTTCGTAGATTACAACTCTTCTTTCATTCTTTCATTTCTAGTTATTAAGCCACCTCATAGAGTTGATTTTTTGCTCTGTGGTTTCCTCATTTCTAACACTTCAATGCACCTGTTGATTATGAGTGAGAATGAAAAATTCCGTAGCACGATTTTTTTTAACGATCAATATGCAATGTCGAAACGCCAATGACTTATGCATTTTGAAATGATTCATTCTCATTCAAACCTTCTTCTATACTTGTCAGAGTGAATTCATTTATTCACAGCTCCTTCTAGAAGACCCAGGGACCTTGCGATTACAAAGCAAATGCTGTACCACCAAACTTACGCCTCCTCCATTGCAACTATTGCGGTCGGGATTCAGTCAAGGGACCACGAGGTTCGGAGTCTAATTCTACATTCTTACGTAAAGATTTCCTATCCCGTAATCCTCATAAACAAGTTCAAGATCTTGTACAGCAACATAGTACGACTATATTATACTTTACACATCATATTGAAGATAGTTCTTATTGAACAACCGTGGCATGTTCGTAAAAGAACATGGATTTCAAGCCGAGCGATGATGCGCAAGGATGGCCAGTTTCAATCCATCCCGACGTTGACCCTAACAT